GCGGCGGCGGCAGCGGCGGCGGCAGCGTCGGTGGCAGCCGAGAGGAGGAGGGCGCGACGAAGAACAACGCGGCGACCCCCGCCGGGGACGCCTCGGGCGGCAACGGCAGCGGGGACGGCAGCGGCGGCGGCAGCGGCGGCGGCGGCGGCGGCGGCGACGGCAGCGACGATAACGCCGCCGGGAGCGAGGACAACAGCCCGAGCGACCGCAAGCTGCAGTCCGGGTCCGGCGGCGGCGCGCGCGGCGCGAACGTCGCGGAGAACGGCAGCGGCTCGGACGGCAGCGGCGGCGCTCCCGGCGGCTGCGGCAGCGACGTCGCGCCGCTCGAGATTGACGGCCCCGGAAAGATACGCGAGGGCACCTATTCGAGCTCGCGCGACCCCGCCGTTCGATGGCTCCTCTCCGCGTGGATGCACCGAGAGGGCGTCGTGTTGACGTGCCCGCCTGGTAACACTCAGGACCGTCGGTTCCGTGACGTGCTCGCGCGGAGGTGCGCCGCGATCGTCGGCACGCTCGCCGCGCAACGCGCCAACTTTGGCGCTCGAAACGCGCCCGCGCTCGTCATCGTCCCCGCGGTGGTCCTCCCGATCTGGGCCGCGGAGTTCGCGCGCTGGGCGCCGGAGCTAAACGTCGTGGAGTACTGCGGCAGCGCGATGAGTCGGAACGTCGTGCAGGAGTACGAGTGGAGCCGCCGACGCGTGGATCAGGAGCGCGGCGACGACCGGCGCCGTTGCGAGTCCGCGTCGCAGTCGCGCGACCGTCGGTTCGTCGTCGCCGTCAGCGAGAAGCTGCATCGACAAAACGCCGCTACCGCCGTCGCCGGGAAGGAGGGCACGCCCGCGTCCGACGGCGGACGAAGCGGCGGCAGCGGGAACGGCTCCGGGGAGGCGACGAACACCAACGACGGCTTGAACGGATCCGGCGGCGGATCCGGCGGCGGCTCGGCACGCGACGTCGGCACCGAACGCGGCAAGTCTAGCTCTGGGTCCGGGAACGACGATCGCGACGGCAGCGGCGGCGGGTCCGGGTCCGCCGCGCCGTATCTCCCGTCCGCGTCCGCGATCAAGGCGCCCTCCCCGCCCGGCGGCGAGGCGGAGAACGCGACCGCGACCGACCGCGACGCGCGGAGGACGCCCAGCGACGCGGGCGACGACCGCGCCGGCTGCGGCAGCGGCGGCGGACGCGGCGAGGGCGGTTCGAACCGCGACACGCAGTCCCCGAGCGGCGGCGACGTCGAGGGCGGCGCGGACCGTCGCGGCGGCGGATCAGGCGGCGGCAGCGGCGACGACAGCGGCGGCGACGTGGGTCCCGGCAAGACGGGCAGCGGGTCCGGGAACCAGCCGGGGGGTTCGTTCGCGCACGGCGACGGAGACGCGGTGGACGCGAGAGCCAACGGGAGCGGGAATAACAGCGGCGGGGATAACAACGCGCTCGACGGCGGCGCCGCGGGAAGCGGCGGGACGCACCACACGCACGGCGGGAGCGGGAACGGCGGGAGCGGGAACGACCGCGACCCGGCGTCGGCGGCGGCGGCGGCGGCGGCGAAGGCGGTCGCGCCCGCCATCGCCGCGGCGAGGCACCCGAAGTTCCACGTTCTCCTCGCTTCCAACGAAGCCGCGACGCAGGACTTGCTCTTGCTTCGGCAGGTGGCGTGGGAAACGCTCATGCTCGTGGAGGACGTCGCGGAGCAGCGCTCGGGGACGATGTCCATGCTCCCTCGGATCGGGACGCTGCAGTCCGCGAACCGCGTGTTGCTTCTGAGCGGCGCGCTCCCGCACACCATCGGCGAGCTCCTCGCGGTGCTGGATTTCATCAAGCAGTCCCCGGAGGGCATGCTCGCGCTCGAGCGCTCGCTGTTGGGTCTCGAGGACCGGAACGCGCTCAGGGAGGCGAGCGGGATCTTGGAGCAGGTCACGTTGGACCTCGGGGTGTTGAAGCCCGCGAAGGCGCCGTCGCCGGAGAGCCGCGGCGGCGGGGCGACGGCGACGGCGACGGCGGCGGCGATGGCGACGGCGACGGCGTCGGGGTCGCCTCCCGGGGTGGGTCGCGGCGCGAGCCCCGCGGTCGCCATCGCGCCCGCCCGCGCGCACGCGCCGCACGCGCCGCCGCCGCTCGTGGCGCCGCACGCGCGCCCCGCGCCGGCGGTCGGTCCTCGCGCCGCCGGGCATCATCATCATCATCATCATCACTTCCACCCGCCGCGGCCGCACCGCGCGGACTCGCCGTACCCGCCCGGGATGTTCCCCCACGTCGCCGGCGCGCCGGTCGTCGCTCCCGGCGGGCACGGGCATCATCTTCACCACCACTTGCAGCACCCGAAGGCGGCGGCGATGCAGCCGATGCCGCCGTGGGCGAACGGACCGCCGCCGTCGTCGTCGGCGGCGGCGGGGACGGCGAACCCGAACGCGGCGGCAGCCGCCGCCGCCGCCGCCGCCGCCGCCGCCGCCGCCGCCGCCGCGGGCGCCCCACCGCAAGTCCAGATGATCCACGCGCTCATGACGACGATCAACCACGACCCCGCGGCGGCGGCGGTGATGATGCGACAGATGCAGCACTTCGCGTCCGCGCAGGCGATGCCGCCGGGCGTATCCCCGCAGCAGATGGCGCACGCGCAGGGGGCGCTGCTGCAGCAGATGATGGCCGCGAGCGCGAGCGCGGCGTCGGGGCCGAACGGCGGCGGGCAGGCGGCGATGGTGCAGGCCGCGGCGGCGTTGGCCGCCGCGGCCGCCGCGGCCGCGGCGACCCCGGACCCAAAAGTCCTTAAGGATCGGCGTTCACCACGCGAACGCGGTCGTATGGGGACCAGTGTAAACGGAAACGAACCGCCGTCCGGGTCCGGGTCCGGGTCCGGGTCGGCGCCGGAGACGGCCGCCGGCGCGGCTGTCGTCGCGAAACCCGAGCCGGGCGCCGACGGAGGTGGCGTCGTCAAGAAGGGTAAGCGGTCCGCGCGCGCGCCCGCGAATAAGGCTGGCGGGGGCGGCGCCGCGAAGAAGCGGAAGACGTCGACGTCGGCGGCGCCGGCGACGAAGTGCGAGGCGCAGGCGGCGGCGGCGACGGCGACGGCGACGGCGACGGCGACGGCGACGGCGACGGCGACGGCGACGGCGACGGCGACGGCGGCGGACGCCGGCAGCGGCGACGGCGGCGGCGACGGCAGCGATGGCGACGGCAGCGGCGTTCCCGACGGCGACGACGCGGAGAACGGCGACGGTAGCGGCGGGAGCAGCAGGTCGCGTGCTGGGAAGAACGTGGCGGGCGCGGGAGGCTGAGCTTCCCTCGGAGGCGCCCGCGCCCGTCGGCGACGATTCATTTATTTGTCGGCGACGATTCTTTCGAAGGCGGGTCGTCTCCGTCTCTGGCGAGGCGAGGCGAGGCCTTCACGCTCTAGTCGTGCGATAGGCACGTTCATTCGCTCCGCGGTTCGCCCGCGTCGTCGTGCCGGCGACGCGGGGCGGTCGCGGAGCAACCTCACGTGGCGACAGGCGCCCCCATAGATTAGGCTGGGCGCCCCCACTCACGTTTTGATCATTTATCACATCCAACTCATCAAACTACAGGTATCGTACAGTTCAAAACGCGACTCGCTCCGCTCGTCTTCCATCGCTCGCTTCGCTTCTTCTGCCACGCACGCGCTCACTTCGTCCGCCGTTTCTTATTCTTATTCGTATTCGCAACGGCTTTCCCGCGAAGCGCCGCGCGGCTCGCCTCGACGTCAACGCCTTCGCCTTCGCCTTCGCCCTCGCCCTCGCCCTTGACCATCTCCGCCGCGACCGCGCGTTCGATCTCCGCGCGCATCGCCTCCGCGGGGAAGATCTCGAACGACTTCACGTCCACGTTCGTCATCGGCGATTTCCACCGCGCCCTGCTCGCCGCCTTCTTCTTCCCGCCTCCGTTCCCGCCGCCGCCACCTCTGCCTCTGTTGCCGCCGCCGCCGCCGCCTCTGCCGCGTCTGTTGACGTACGGGTTCCTGAGGGTCGTTCCATACGAGCGAACGTCGGGGTGGAGTTCAAAGGCGTCAGTTGGCGTTGAAAGGCGTCGAGGGCGGGGATTGAAAGCGAGGGTTGGGGGGAGAGAGACGACGGCAAAAGTCCTTAAGGAACGGCGTTCACCACGCCGACGCGGTCGTATGGGGACCAGTGTATAGAACGCACCTGAACGAGTCGTTGGAGTCGGACGGAGTGTCTGAGGCGTCGGAATAAGAGTCGTCGGACGCGACGTCGTCGTCGTCCGAGTTCTCCCCCTCAAAGTCGGAATCGTCCGAGCGGATCGTCTCCCTCCGCGACCGCCGCATCCACGTCTCGATCTTCTTCCTCTCGTAGTGATGCCCGTCCGACGCGAGGACGGGGTCGCGCATGATCGAGTGCCCGATCGGGCACATCCACTCCGGTCGACGCGCGATGATCGCCTCCTCGATCGGCCGACGCCTGAGGGTCGAGGGTCCATACGAAGCGACGTCGGGGTGGAGTTGAAAGGCGTCAGGGGTGGAGTTGAAAGGCGTCGAGGTGTGTCGGGATCGTGAGCGAGGGACCCTGGGCGGAGAGATGCGCCGGGAAAAGTCCTTCTTAAGGATCGGCGTTCACCGCGCCGACGGGGTCGTACGGGAACCGGTGTGAGGAGAACGCGCCTGAGCTCGTCGTCGACGACGTCGGCGTACCGCAGGAGCGACCGCTTCAGGGACGCGAGGTCGTCGCTCACGAGATCGGACGACGCGCCCTGACACACGCGCGCGACGAGCGACAGCGCGTCAGCGCCGGAGAGGTATCTCTCCGCCGCCTCCTTTCCGCTCGCGTCGTCGCCGTCTTTTCCTCCTTTCCCCTTTCGCTTCTTCGCCGCCGCGCCCGCGCCCGTCGCCGCCGCCGCGTACATCGGCTTCTTCGCCCGTCGCGCGGCCGCCTCGCGCTTCTCCCGCTCGCGCTTCACGTCCTGCGGGTCCATCCCCTCGATGAGCAGACGAATCTTATCGGCGCGCGGGACGCGATCCGCGGGCGACCGACCCCCCGCGTCGACGTGATGAATCCCCCCGGGAAACGCGATGTACAGCGTCTCGATCACCTCCTTCCCCGTCTCGCTCTCCGCGGCGAGATGAATGGGCAGGCGCCCTTCCTCGTCGACGCGCGTCGCGGCGTCCGGAAACGCGTGCACGAGCGCCTGGCAAATCTCCGACGCCGATTTCGGATCCAGACGCCCCAACGCCCCCGCCGACGCGGCTACGTGCAGCGGCAATCCCCTGTTCCGCGCGTACATCGCCGCGGCGGCGGGGTTCGCCTTGAGTATGAGCTCGACGCACTCCACGCTCCCGCGCGTGCACGCGAGGTGCAGCGGCGTCAGGCCCTCGTTGTTCGCCTCGAAGACGGCTTTCGGGTGCTCCTTTAAAATTTCCTTCACGACGGTCACCGGGAAGTGAGGATTGAGCACCAGGTGCAGAGGGAAGCTGCCGCGTTCGGCGGGGACGGCGCACGCGGCGGGGTTCGCCTTGAGCAACGTCCGTACCATGTCGTTCGTCTGCCCGTACACGAGCGCCACGTGCAGAGGAAGGTGCCCGCGCTCGTCTTTGCGCGTTATGCTCTCGCGGTCGGCTTTCATGAGCATCTCCGCCACCTCCGCGGGCGCGCCGTCTTCCACCGCCATATGCAGCGGGTACACGCCGTCGCCGTCCTTGCACCCCGCCGCGGCGGGATACGCGTCGAGCAGCGCCTTGAACGTCTCCTTGTCCGCCTGCGCGTACAGCGCGTGATGCAGCGGGAGGTACCCGTCCTTGTCCCTCGCCTGTTCCGTACGAGCGAACGTCGGGGTGGAGTTGAAAGGCGTCAGGTGGAGTTGAAAGGCGCCGAGGTCGGGTATTGAAAGCGAGGGACCCTAGGCGGAGAGATGCGCCGGGAAGTAAAGTCCTTAAGGATCGGCGTTCACCACGCCAACGCGGTCGTATGGGGACCAGTGTATAGAACGCACCTTGCACGCGTCCGGGTGACGCTTGACGAGCTCGGCGACCACCCTCGGACACTGCCTGGACTCGACCGACGCGTGGAGCGTCGTCGCTTTGTCGCGCGCGCGGAGCTTCGTGACGCAGGATTCGTCCGCCTTCGCGAGGCGATCGAGGCAGTGGAGCACCGTCGCGGACGCGCCGGCGCCGTAGCCGCCGTACTTGGTGTTGACGCCGAGCATCAGCATCAGCGGCGTGTTTCCCTCGACGTCTGAGGGTCGAGGGTCGAGGGTCGAGGGTCCACACGAGCGATGATATCGGGGTGGAGTTCAAAGGCGTCAGAAGCGGAGTTGAAAGGCGTCGAGGGAGGTGTGTCGGGATCGTGAGCGAGGGACCCTGGGCGGAGAGAGACGCCGCCGGGGAGCAAAGTCCTTAAGGATCGGCGTTCACCGCGCCGACGCGGTCGCGTCGGAACCGGCGTAAGGAAGGATAACGCGCCTCGGTACGTGACGTCTCCCTTGGGGACGCGCTCGAGCAGCGCGGAGAGCACCTCGGGCGCGCGCATCTGCGCGGCGGCGTGGAGCATGCACCGCTTCTTCTTATTCGCGGCCTTCATCCGCGTCTTCAGCATGTCGTCGCTCGCGAGGACTATGAGCCCGCGAAGAACGTCCGCGGGCGCCGCCGGGTGCAGGATGGCGTCGTAGAGATCCACCGCGTCGACGTCCCACTCCGCCGCGCGCTGCTTCTTCTTCTCCTTCGCCTTGGCGATCGGCTTACCTGGTAGCGCCTTCTTCGCGGCCTCCTTCGCCGCGTCCTTCTGGTTCTTCACCCACCGCGCGCGCGCGACTTTCGCGTCGAAGACGATCCCCGCGCCGGCCGAGACGATGCGCCCGGGCTGCCCGCACCACCGCTCCATCTCCACGCCCTTCTCCACGAGGTCCTCGCGGAGCTCCTTCCACTTATAGAGCTCCACGAGCCGGTTCAGCTTCGTCTGCGTCTTCGGCGGGCGATCGACGCGGCGCTCCTGGCCCACGTATCGCGCGCCCCCGTCGTTCATCGCGCCGAGTTGTATTCGGCTCATCACGCGTTCGAACCCGCGCCCGCGCGCGTCGTCGTCGTCGTCGTCGTCGTCGTCGCGCGCGAACGGCGGCGGGCCCGCGCCGAAGTAGATCCCGTGGCCGCCGACGTGGGTGAAATTCATCGGAGCGGAGCGGAGCCGACGGCGGCGCTGAGCGAGCGGCGGCGTGCGCGGCGGGGGCCGGGCGGATCGTGTTTTCAGATCTCCGGCGCTCCCGGCGACGTCGCGTCGCACAAGACTCTCTCGTCAAATCCTCGGCCGAGACGAGGCGTATCTTGGTGTACAGTACACGTACACGTACTCGTACTCTATGCGTTTTAGTCAGACTCGTGATCAGCTTCGAGGACTCATCATCGCGGTCGAACACGCTTCCGCATTATTAGAGGGTTTTAGTAGAGGGTTTTAGTAGAGGGTTTTAGTTGCAAAAGCAAAATCGGGTCTGCGAACCGGGGTTTAGTTGCAAAATCGGGTCTAAAATCGTATGGCAAAATAGGGTGGGGTGACCCGATTTTCCACCCGATTTTAGACCCGATTTTGGCGCAACTAATAAAACCCACTATTAGGTCGCGCGATCTGGCCAGACCGACGCGCGCGCGCGCGCGCTCGCCCCCCCCCCTCCCCCCGCTTCGCACCGCGCGGAGGGACCCCCGGCCACGCCGCGGCGAAGACGCGACGACGACGACGACGACGACGACGACGATGCACCACGACTCCCCGGGCGTCGTCCGCGCGGCGGCGCACGACGGATCCGATCACGGGGACGCCTCGCCGTCGTCGCCGGGCTCCTACGTCCTCTGCGTGCAGTGCGGCGCGACGCGGACCGACGACAACGTCGTGGAGATTCGCGTCGAGCTGGACACGACGTGGGAGGATGCGAAGGCGATGGCGTGCGCGGCGCGCGGCGTCGACCCGTCGACGCACCGCCTGCTGTTCCGAGGGAAGGAGCGGCGGGACTGGGAGACGATGTTCGAGGCGGGGGTGCGGCACGGGAAGCACATGAAGGTATTTTATTCATTCTTGAGACCCAACCGCGAGACCGCTCCCACGCCGTCTCTCGAGAAGGATAAGGACGCGACGCGCGCTCTCTCTCGCCACACCCTCGCGCGTTACTTTCCTTTCCCGTTCCTTTCGACGCTCGACCCCGGGACGCGCTTTGACTGACCGAGCCCGAACCCGCCCGCGCTTTCGACCGCGCCTTTCAAAATCGATCGCGAATGAAGGGCATGATGCTCCTCGAGACGGAGGCGTCTCTCCGCGCGCGCCACGAGGCGGACCAGAAGCGGCAGATGGAGGAAGCGCGGCTCGCGAGGAAGGAGAGTTACGAGAGGGAGGCGAGCGCGAGCGCGAACGGTCCGGGGAAAAACCTCCCGAGGGGGAAGAGCAAGCGAGGAGAGAAGAGCCCGCCGCCTGATCCGACGGCGGCGGCGTTTCGAGCCGTCGACGGCGTCACGGACGACGTCGACGCGTTGGAGCGCGAGGTGAACGACGCCGCGCGCGCCGCGTCGGAGAGTGGACTCGAAGAGAAGACGCACGCGGGGCTGAACAACCGGCTGGAGAAGGCGTTGCTCGCGTTGGACGGCGTGGACGCTATGGGCAACGACGAGATTCGCGCCGTGCGAAAGAGCCTCGTGGGGCGCGTCAACGGGCTCTGCGAAGCCCTGGACATGGCGTACAGTAGGTACGGGCGCCCGTGACGCGATTCGATGACGCGAGGCGGGAGTAGAAGAGACGGACGGACGGACAATGTGCGTTGAAATATAATGGGAGAAGAGAGCGATGACGTGCGTAGAAGCCACTCCCCTCGTCAGTCGTGCACGTTTGACGACTCGCCGAGCGGCTCACAGTGTCTGGTGTCACACTGCGCAAGAGATGACGTGGATGCTCCCGCGCAAAAGGGTGTCACTGTTTGAACCGCCTCGCGGCCGGACGTCTCGACGCGATGTCCTCCGCGTTCCTCTCCCCGGGCGCGCTCGCGCTCGCGAGCGCGCGTCCACGACGCGCGTCTCCCCGCGGTGCGTCGCCGCTCGCGCGTCGTCGCCATCCCGTCGCGGCGTCGTCGATCGCCCAACACGATGAATTCATCCGTGCCGCGATCGAACGCGCCCTCCTCTTCCCTTCTCATCGCATCGCCCGCCGTCGCGTCTCCCTCCCTCCCCCCCCGCGCGACAGGCGCGTCCACGAGCGCGCCGTGCGCGTCATCCCCCCGGGGGCTGCCTCCTCTCCGCGTCTTCGCCATGGCGGGCCAGAAAGACGGCCGCGGCGGCCCGCGCAATCGAACCGGACGCACGCACGACCCGTACAGCACGCCGCTGCGAGACGCGAACCGAGATCGGCTCTACGGGATGCTCACCGCGCGCGCGGCGATGACGCTGCTGACGTACCTCACGGAGATCAACAAAGCCGGCGCGACGTTCTTCCAGGAGTACATGGCGAACAACCCGATACCGTACGCGTTCTGGGCGTCCGGCAAGGTCAAGGACGTCTCGGGGGAGACGTTCATCGAGGGGCTGCTGGCGATGTCGCCGACGAACATAGAGGAAAAGTACCGGGATAACTACATCACCGTGGACCCGCCCGCGCTCGCGGTGCGGCTGCTGGACATACGGTGCGATGCGATGCGATGCGACGACGTTAATTTAGGGCTCACGCACGGTGTTTAGGGTTTCGTTTGGTTCCCGCGCCCCCGTCGCGACGTTTCTCACCTAAACCGAAACCAAAACTCACCGCCGAAAACTTCACGCTTACGCTTCCCTCCGTCGTCCTCAGGTTGGCGCTGCGGGACGAGTGGATCGCGGACCTGGCGCACGTGCGCGAGGAGAACGCGGACATCATGAAGGTGTCGTGCATGACGAGCTTGGAGAACTCGTTCTGTTTAGACTGCGACGACGTCGATTTCGACGACGACGGCGGCGCGGGGTTGGGGCCGCAAGAGTAGACTGCTTGAGTTGATATAAGTTTGAGTTGAAATGTAATTTACAGAGTCGAGATCCCGACGCGCCGCCCCGCGCGACCGATACCATGGCGGCGACGTCGCTGTACAGCGTCTGGCTCGAGCCCCCCACGGACCTGCGCATCAAGGCTGCCAACTTCATCGACGGTCAGGTCGCGTGCTCGCCCGGGTGCCCGTCGTTCGCGCCGCACGTCACGCTCGCGGGCGGATTCCGCGGCTCCGAGTCGGACGCGCGCGCGAGAACCGCGGCGCTCGCGTCCGCGCTCGTCGCGCCCGGCGCGCCGTTCGCGGACGGCGTCGCGTCGCTGCGCGCGAAGGACGTCGCGACCGGGACGCGGTACCACCAGTGCGTGTACCTGCGCATGGAGCCCACGGAGACGCTCGCGGCCGCGCACGCCGCGGCGGCGCGCGCGTTCGACCTGGAGCCGGGAAACGGGAACGGCGAGCCGTACGTGCCGCACCTGTCGCTCGTGTACGGCGAGACCAGGGAGGAGATTAAGGCGGACGCCGCGGACGCCGCGACGGAGGCGCTCTTCTGCGGCGTCTTGAGGGGCTTCGAGACGCGCGAGATCGTGCTGTGGAGGACGGACGTGGAAGATCTCACGTGCGAGAGCTGGGCGCGCGTGGAGCGATTTCCGCTCGTCCCCGAGGGCGGCGGGAACGGCGGCGAGTCCTCCGAGGAGAAGACGACGGCGCAGAGGATCATCGACGAGGCGGAGGAGGAAAAGAAGATGAAGAAGATGAAGAAGAAGAAGAAGAAGAACCCGATGCGTTGGCTGAAGAAGCGCCTGGGCCTCGTCAAAGGCGGCGGCGGCGACCCGGCGAGAACAAGGGCGGCGTGAATCGAATCGAATCATAGGAGCCCTCCGTAGACATCCATCCAGTCGTATACTCGTAGCGACGGCGACGCGTTGCATCGCATCGAAGTCATCATATTAATACAAAGAATCATCGTAGTAGTAACGTGACGTAACGTCCGTTTACCATACGTCACGACACGTCATCATCAATCATCACATCACGCGACGGCGACGTCCCTGTCCCCCAGCCTGAGCAGCGCCTCTCGCAGCGCCTCCTTGTCCTTCGCCATCAGACTTGGCATCGCGTCCTTCGGGTCGTTCGCGCGCGAGCGAAAGTCGGGGTGGAGTTCAAAGGCGTCAGGTGGAGATGAATGGCGTCGAGGGCGGGGATTGAAAGCGAGGGGTGGGCGGAGAGAGACGACGGCAAAAGTCCTTAAGGATCGGCGTCCACCACGCCGACGCGGTCGTATGGGAACCAGTGTATAGAACGCGCCTTCGCGCGCGCCCTCAACTCCGCCAGATCGCTCGCCGTCGGGTCGTACCCCAACGCCGCGAGCGCCCACACGATCTTCGCGAGGCTCCGCGGCGCGAGCTTCTTCTGTTGCACCGCGTCGCGCGCGAGGACGTCAAGCTGCGCCGTGGTCATCCGAAGGCCGAGCAGGGACGCGCCCCACAGCCCGAGCGTCGCGGCGCTGGGATGCAACGCGTCGCGCTCCGCCTCCTCGACGAGGCGACGCGCGAGCGCGGACGCGTGCGCGGCGGGGGGCAGGTGGCGCGTGCGGCCGTACGCGCAGAGGAGCTTCGCGCACTGGTCGCCGTCGAGCGCGTCCTCGCCGCCGGAGGAGGAGGAGGAGGACGACGACGACGTGGCGTCGGACGATGAGTCGTCGGACGAGTTCTCGTCGGATGACCGAAAGTCCGCGGTGTACGCGCGGATGACGTCGTCGCCCGGGTTACACCGCAGCACCCCCCACGCGTGCATCACCGTCAGGCGGTCGTCCACGCTCAAATCTCCGACGAGCCGTCGCGCGGCGCCCGCGAGCGACTGCATGTCCCCGGGCGCGGGCCGGTGCCGCAGCCGCGCCAGCGCCCAGTGCGTCTTGACCAGCAGCTCCGCGTCTGATGGGGTGACGTCGGGGTGAAGTTGAAAGGCGTCAGTCGGAGTTGAAAGGCAGGCGTCGAGACGTGTCGGGATTGAAACCGAGGGACCCTGGGCGCAGAGATGCGCCGGGAGAGAAAGTCCTTGAGGAACGGCGTTCATCACGCCGACGGGGTCGTATGGGGACCAGTGTGGAAATAGAACACGCCTAAAACCTCCGCGAGTCGCGCCGCCGCCGAAGTCAGCGCGTTCATGCACTCGGGCGACAGCGACAGCCCCAACGTCGCGAGCGCCCACAGGACGCAGTCCACGTTCTCTTTGTTCATCCGCGACGCGCACCGCGGGATCTCCCCCTCGCACGCGGCGACGAAGCTCGCGGGCGGCGGCTGCCCGGTCTTCGCGCACGACCAGAGGCACTGCGGGCCAGAGATTCCGTACGAAGCGACGATATCGGGGCGGAGTCGAAAGGCGTCAGAAGCGAAGTTGAAAGGCATCGAGGTTTTTGTGTCGGGATTGGAAGCGAGAGACCCTGGGCGGAGACGATCGCCGGGAGAGAAAGTAAAGTCCTCAAGGAACGGCGTTCACCACGCCGACGCGGTCGTATGGGGACCGGTGTGAGATGACAGAACGCGCCTGCGAGAGATTCAGCGCCGACGCCATCCCGCCGAGGTTCTGCGCCGCGCACTGCTCGAGCAGCGACGTCGTCAGCTCCAACGGCGGCGGGCGGTTCAACCGCGCGCAGCACCACAGGAGGTTAGACGTCTCCTGGCCTTCGAACTGTCTTAGGTTGTCCCTCGCGGAAGCGTACGTCGCCTGCATGAAATCCGCGCCGGGGTCGTGCTCCAGTTCGACGAGACCGAGGAGCGTGTTGGCGAGCTCTTGCGCGCGGAAGTTTCGTAGTAACGGCTGCGCGTGATGCGTTACCGACGCGAGCACGACCACGTCGGGCTTGTACTTCAGCTGCCCGAACGCCCAGAGCGTGTTCGACACCGCCTGCGGTCGGACGCCGCCGCGGGAGGAGTGCCCTCCGTGCGAGTGCTTTCCTCCTCGAGCGCCCCCGTTCCCGCCGCCGACTCCGCCGACGGACGACGCCGCGGCGAGCTCGCGTTCGATCCCGCCGGCGATCGCGGCGAGGACGTCCTCCCCCGGATCGTGATTGAGCCGCGCGCACGCCCACGCGACGTTCGCGAGCCCCTGCGAGTTCATCCGCGCGAGGTTCGCCTCGACGAGGGACATGAGCTGCGCGAATCGCGGATCTCGCAGGAGCTCGTCGGGGGGCTCGCCGCGGGTCGATCCCCACTTGCCGTGCGTCGCGAGCCTGTGGATCGCGGTCGCGGTGTGGATCGCGTCGAAAGAGTCGCCGCTGTCGCACACGATGCTCAGGATGTCTTGAGGGTGCGTGCACGCGACGAGGTCGCCTTGGATGCGCCCGCCGCGCCCCGCGGACGCGGCGGCGCCCCCTCGGTCGCCGCCTCCGCCTCTTCCGCCGCCGTCGCCTCCGCGGCCGCGGCCGCCGCCGCGGCCGCCGCCGCGGCCGCCGCCGCGGCGGACGAACTTCGTCGACGGCGCGGAGGACGCGCTCTCGGCCGTCGTCGCGTCTCGAGCGCGCCGCGAGTCCCCCTCCGAGACGAGTGAGCACGCCGCCGTCCGCGGAGGAAAAAGTCGAGAGAGGGGCGAATTGCGCGCGCGCGAGGCGCGCGCACGCGCGCACGCGCGCGCCGCCGACGCGCCTGGACGCGAGGACGACCCTCGCGCGCGCGCGCGCGCACGTCGTCGCGTGAGCGCTCATGTCGCGATGCGTGGGAACGCGTGCGACGGGGTGTACCGCGCGGGCGATTCTGATGGCTCTCGCGCTTTTCGAGAAGGCAAAGGGCGCTTTGGATTGCGCTTTTCGCGTCCTCCGCGGCTCGCCGCGACGGCGAACGGTCGCGCAGTCTGTTTGCGCGTACGTGTACGCGTATACGCGTACAGTTGTACTTTCGTACTTTCGTACCCTTAAACTCGTGTATAATATGCCCGCCTACTCCCCCGTCCACGCCTCCTCGTCGTCCGCGCCCGCCTCGCCTCGCGCCTCGCGCGTCGCCCGTCGTCCGTCGTCCGTCGTCCCTCGTCCGTCGCCTCGCCTATCGCCTCACTTCGGCAGATGCTTCACGAGCAAGGTCTCGAACGCGACGTACAAGTCGCCGCCGTCGTCGCCGAAAATTTCCTGAGGGTCGTTCCATACAAAAAATGTCCATCGGTCAGTTGAAAGGGGACGCGATCAAATGTTGAAACCGGGCGATGGGTGAAATACGTATCATGTATAGAACGCACCTTGGCGCGCTCGAGCGTCTCCGTCCTCGTCTGCTTGTGCGCGTTGAGCTCCTTGATGTTCGAGAGGAACTGCGAGAAGTTCTCGTACGATAAGCGCGCGCGCGCTTGCCGGAAGAATTCCTTCCCGTCCACCTTCCCGCCTTCTCCCTCTCCCTGGTCCCCCCAGGTTTCGCCGCCGCCCGACGACGGCGCCGGCGACGCCGCGCCCGCGCCCGCCGCCGCGACGCCTCTCGAGCCCCCGCGCGGCGGGGACCTCTCCCCCCCCGCGTGTCTTACTTGGTGATGCGTCGTCGCCGAGTGCGAGTGCGAACGCGCGACGGTCGTCTCTCTAAACGTCGACGACGACGTCCCTTTGTTCGCGCTGCTCAGGACGGAGTGCACCAGGCGATCGCCCGCGGCGTCGCCCGCGGTCGTCGCGACGGGCGCGCCGCCGTCGTCCTCCTCGTCCTGCAAGGTTTGCATCAGGTTGCGCTTGAACGCGTCGAGCTTCGCGTTGTCGCGGTTCAACTTCTTCACCGTGTTGATCAGCGCGTTCTTCTCCTGCGCGAGCTTGCTCTGCTCCTCGATCGCGCTCGCCGCCTTCTCCCGCGCGTCGTCCAGCTCCTCGGTCGCCGCGGCGAGCTTACGCTCCAGCGATTTGATCTTCGACGCGCGATCGAGCGCCTGCGACTGCAGCGTCGCGCACTCGCGCTCGAGCTCCTGGACCTTGCCCACGAACGCGAGGTTCGCGATGCGATGCGCGAGCTCGAGCTGGTCCGTCGGGTCCTCCGGGAGGACCTGGATGGATGACGCGCGTCGGAGGTGGGAGGAAGGAGGGCGGGAGGGCGTGAGATCGAGCGATCGATCGTCGTCTCGCGTTTGGCGCCATTTCGCGCGCGCGCGTCGAACCGGCGGGGACGCGCGGGGAAGGAGGCGCGCGCGACGCGCGCGCGGGCGCGCGGGAGGAGACGCACCGCGACGATTTCTTTCGGGATGGAGCCGTCCATGGCGCGAAGCGAGGGAGCGCGGGCGCGGGACGGCGTGCGAGGAGGCGCGAGCGCGCGCGACGGTTTGTTTTCGAGCGCGCGAGCGTCGCGCCCGTCGCGCGCGCATCGAGGAAAAACAGGCGAGCCGCGTAGTACGCGCGCCACGTACTCTGCGCATACCGCGGCGTCATACGAACGACGAAATGTCGCGAATGCGAGCGGTCGAGCCCTAATTTATTTAGGGCTTGGGAGACGCGCTCGACTACTCGTACTCAACAAACGATAGTCATACGAAAACAGAGGCGTACGCGGGAAGCGAATGGTATTTTGAAGCGGAATTTTATTCCGATGAAAACCGAACATTCGTCCGCCATCTTCTTCACTCCACTAGCGGCTCGCACACGCAGCTCGCAGAAGGAAAGAGATGGTGAAGGGACTCAAGCCTCACAGGGTACGTCTCCGTCGGTCCCGCGCGTCTGACCGCGGTCGCGCGCGAGAGAATCGCGCCTCGGTCGTCTTCCCGGCGTCGCGAGGGATGAAAAAAAAACCTCGCGCGAGGATGGACGCGCGTCGTCTCGACGTCGCGCGCGACGACGACGACGACGCGCGCCCGTCCTCGAGCGCGGTCGAGCGATGCGAGCGTCTCGTCTCACCGCGCGTCGTCGTCGTCGTCGGACGCGTCGTCGTCATCATCGTGGACGTCGTCGTCCGGCGACAGCGCGCGATGTCACGGGTTTCTCCGCGAAGTTTTTTCGCGCGCGCGACGCGCCCTTCCCCCCGCCGAACGACGAACGCGACCTGACCATCCCGCCCGTTCCTTCTTTATCTTCAACAGTACCACCAGTACCACATCGTGGGCCGCCACGTCCCGACCGATGCGGACCCCAACCCGCAGGTGTACCGCATGAAGCTCTGGTCGTTGGACGACACCCGCGCGAAGTCGAAGTTTTGGTGCGCGTCAAATCTCGTCCCGAAGCGGCGCCCGCGAGCGCGATGCGTCTCGAGAAACGCCCTCCTCTCGATCGCTAGAGCACCTTTGGGAGTATTAGAACGCATTCGACGCGCGAAACGGGGACACGACGACGCCCTGGCATCGCCGGAGCGCCGCGCGCGGACCCCGGAACACGTCGTTTCATTCTTCTTCTTCTCAGGGCTCCTAGCTAGGGCTTTGACATTTTAGGGTCTGCGGCGCGCCCGGCGCCGCGACCGCGCGTCTTCCTCCCCGACCATCGTCGCTGACCTTCCACCCCCCGTCCATCGCGTCCAACCCGTTCTTCACTCCAGGTACTTCCTGTCCCGCCTTAAGAAAGTTAAGAAGGCGAACGGTCAAATCATCGCGTGCAACGAGATCTTCGAAGAGGACGTCACGACGATTAAGAACTTTGGGATCTGGATCCGCTACCAGTCGCGCACGGGCTTCCACAACGCGTACAAGGAGTACCGCGAGATCAGCATGAACAAAGCCGTCGACGCGCTTTACGAGGAGATGGCGTCCCGCCACCGCGTGCGCGCGCCGTGCCTGCAGATTATCAAGATTTGCCAAGTCGCGGACGCGGATGTCAAGCGCGACAACACGATTCAGTTCCTCGGCGTGAAGGAGCCGGTGTCGTTCCCTGTGGTGAACAAGGTGCTTCGCCACGATTCCAAGTCTCAGAAGACGACGTTCAAGTACAAGCGACCGAACTTCTCCGCGGTGTAAACCGATGCGTGAGGATGTGTGGGGTGTGGTGTTCTTGATGAAAGGTCTCGAGGGGGAGGAGAGATTTGGAGAGTTCGTGGTGCGACGATCGATGCGAGGGACGAAGAATCGATCGACACGAGGAGGGGGTTCCGGGATGGGGGGGGAGTGTCGCGGGTGCCGGTGAGCTTCGCGAAATTGGCGTAACGACGACGCGCGCGCGTCGTCGAAAAACAAAACTAACAACAACAACTAATAGCGTTTGTAAGAAGAACAAGCGCTTCAACTAACGGCGAGTGGCGACGAGTGGAGAAAAAAATGAATTAGGGTCTGCGGCATCGCTTCGAATTGCATTACACGCGTCGTCCGTCCGTCCGTCGTCTGCGCCGTTCTATCGTCGTACACGTCACGTCTGTTCTCTTCTTCTCCCTACATCCTCCGCGCCGTCCACCCCCCGCGCGGACACCCGCGCGACCTCACTCGCTCGCGTCCATCACGCGAGGTACTTGAACACGTTGGCGTCGTCCTTGTCTCTCTCGAGGTAGTCCCGCGCGATGAGGTCCTCGATGCGTTTTTTGATCATCTTAAAATCTGGCTTGAACATCCGGTTGAGCTGCTGCACCACCTCGAGCACGAGCTGCTGATGCGGGAGCACCTTCCGCGATTTCATCGTCCGCACGATCGCGGCGTCGATCGCGTACCGCCGGTCCTTGTCCACGTCCTCCACGGTCTTCTTCTTCTCGTCCACGGGGGGCAGCGGCACCTTGATGCGTCGAAGGCGATCCGTGAACTTGGCGTTGAAGCTGAAGACGTCGCCCGCGTCGATCGTCTTCCCCTCCGGGATTTTCGTGAGGATCTTGTACTTGGCGCACGACAGCGAGTGCAGCGAGCGAATCACGTCCTCGTTCGGGAGGTTCAGACGCTCTTTGACCTCCTCGAACGTCAGCGAGTCCGTCTCGTTGAAGAGGAGCAGACACGCGGCTTGAAACGTCGAGATCTGGAGCTCGATCGGCTTCGCGGTGAACGCCGCCTTGACGTGGCACATCCCCAGCGCGTAGATCCACGTCAGCTTCCTGTGCACGAAGTGCGCCTCGTAGAAGTCCTTGAACGTCTCCACGCACTCGACCATCTCCTTCGGGAGCGCGAGCTCCATGAACTTGTACGTCGGCCAAAACCCGGTGGTGAGCACGGTGACTTGGAAGTCAACCTTGGGCCTGCGCTTGTCCTCGTCCTCGGACATCCACTTCTCGAACGCGGGGCGGTGGTTATCCCGCGCGAGCTGCAAGTCCGTGACCATGCCCTCCATCTTCGACGTGAACTGCGCGCCGCACTGCTGCTTGAGCTTCGTGAGGATCGACCGCTCGTGGTCGTCGTTGGCGCTCTTGTCGAAGAGCAGCCGCCGCGACAGCTTCTTGCGGTAAAACTCCGCGAAGAGGTCCTTGTCGCTGATGTACGCCAGCAGCCGCACGACCTTCTCGAGCGTCTCCTCCACGGCGTCGTCGCTGAGCTTCTCGCTGCTGCCCTTCTTGAGCAGGTTATCGCAAAACGTCGCGAGCAGCTCCGCGGACGTGCTCCCGGCGACGCCCTTGTTGCAAAACACCTCGAACGCCTCCTTCAGCGCCCTGTGGAACAGCGAGTCGTTGCTGAAGCAGTCGCCCACGTACGCGAGGTACTTGTCGTGGAGCTCGATGACGTTCCTCACGAACATCTGCTCCGTGGACGCGCTCGCGGCGTTCGACGCGTCCTTCCCCGCGCCCCCCGCGGCTTTCGCCTCCTTCTTTTGCGTCGCCGCCTGCGTGGGTGAAGCGATCGGTCAGTCGAACGTCTTACCGGTCAAACGTTGAAAGGGAAGCGCGGGTGAAGAGCGACGACGGGAAAAGTCCTCAAGAAACGGCGTGCACCACGCGAACGGGGTCGTATGGGAAGCAGTCTCACCTCCTCCGCCGCCTTGACTAGCGTCACTCCCTCGCGCTCGACGTACTTTTTGAAGATGTCCGCGACGGGGGGCAACCCCGCGGGGATGCGCTTGAAGAGCCGGTACATTCGGCCCAAGTCCTCGGTCTTGTCGTCGCGGAGCAAGACCGCCGCGCCGGAGTGCTCCTTCTCGAGCAGCTGCGTCTCGTACTGCGCGAGAACCTCCTTCTCGCACTCCTTCAGAATCTTCGTCTCGGAGCTCGCGTGCAGGTAGTGCCCGACGCGCTCTTTCTCTCTGCGCAGGCACTCCTCCGCTTTCACGAGGTAGTCCGGGCACGAGTCTTCTTCGATCCAGATCGTCGCCTTCTTGGCGTAGAACGCCGCGGTGTTCGTGAGTAAGTGGCACTCGAAGTCGTTCTCGTACGCGTCCATCCCGCCCATGCCCATCTCCACGAAAATGCCCAAGATGTTCTTCATCAGCGCGCGATCCACCTGTTCGCCGTCGCGCTCTTTCTCCACCAGCTGCAGCACCGCGTCCTTGACCGTGCGCTTGATCTCCGCGAAGACGAGGTCGCGGAAGCACAGCATGCCGACGTCTTTCAGCTGCGCGAGGTTGTGGCGTTGGATGTAATACCGGTCGAGGTAGTTGAAGAAGCGCGAGAGCCACCGGACCATGATCTTGTGGTTGTCCCACCGCTTCACGAGCTCTTTCAGCATGTACTCGCCTTGTTTTTCGCGCAGCGCGGGGAGGACTTTCGTGGTGATGTACTCGTTGAACGCCTCGCGGTATCGCTCGTACAGCTGTTGGGAGTAATCGTGCGGCGGTTTCTGCGTGCACATGTTGTAGATCGTACTGTTCGCACGAGGCGCGCGCGGAGGGTGGAAGGGGGCGGGGGTTGGGGTCAGGGTCAGAGGTTTAGGGTGAAACGCGACGCGGGGAGGGCGAGAGAGACCGCGCGCCGCGGCTCGGTGCGCTCGACGACTCCGCCGGGTCGGAACTCGTTCGGCGCTTTTTTTTCTTTCAGAGCGTCCTCGATCGAGCGAGCGAGCGAGCGAGCGACGCGCGACGGACGTCCGCGCGCGGGGCGCGGCGGGACGCACGTGTACAGGTTGATGTACTCCTCCGGATTGAAGTTCTCCTCGTTCTTCTCCCCCTCTAAGATGTTCCGGAGCTTCACGATGCCGTTCTGCGCGCGCGGGGAGAGGAAAGGCTGGTCGCGTCAGAAGATCGCTCGCGTCGCGCGTCGTCGGAGGTGGCGACGACGACGCGGCGAAAAGGGCGACGACGACGACGGCGCGCGTCGCGATCGATCGAGCGCGCCGCGCGGAGAGGGAGCGTTCGCGCGAACGCACGACGCGGCGGCGACGGACCTGCATGAACTCCCATCCCTCGTCCAGGGAGATGACCTTGCGGTCGTTGATCATCCTCCTCGCGCCCTACTTGGCACCTGCGAGATCTGGGCGACTTCGAAAACACGCGCGCGCGCGCCGCGCGTCCGCCTCCGCGTTACCGCGCGCGCGCGTCCTCGACGACGCGACGCGGAGCGTGCTTCGCGCGCGTGCGGGGTATGAACGCGTAGGCGACGTGCGATCGGTCGCTCGTGGCGTCGCTCGCGCCCGCGCTCGTCGCTCTGCGCGGCCGCGGCGGCACGGACGACCTCGCGGTCGGGCGACGCGCGTCGCGTACGCGTACGCGCGTGACGAGAAGACTGTGCGACGAGCCTCGGGGAGGGGTACAGTATCGATCGGACCTATCGATCTGGGTACGTACGGTGAATCGAGGCCTATCCCCGCGTTCGTCGAGTCGGTCGACGCGGCGAGGTTCACCGGTCGACGGGTCGAACATTTGCTTTCAACTGATTCTTTTTGACGCCGGCGCGGTCTTTCCTTTCCTACGCCCCCCACCCACCAACCCGCGCGTCGCATCACGCGTCACAGGTCGTACCGGACGTCCCACCGGTCCTTAAAGTCCGTGTTAAACGTCCAGTTGTTCTCCCGTATCTGCCCGTACAGCTTCTGCTTCGCGAGGTCGTACCCCAGCCGCAACTTCAGGTCTTGGTCCTCCTGAAAGTTGAAAATCTTCTGCGTCAGCTCGACCGCGCCCGATACCTCCGCGTGTCGCGCCTTGCTCCCCATCGTGACGCCGCCCTTCACGTCCAGCGTCGTCAGTCCGTCGTCCGTGAGCTCGAACGATTTCTTCCCCGCGATGCCGTACTTCACGTCGTCCGCGGTCGTCGCGTACGAGAGTCCCATGTCCACCCGGGACAGGACCGCCTCCGGGAAAAACTTTTTGCGGACGTACGCGCGCGATTCCACGCGCCCGTCCTTCGTGTCCAGCGACCCGCTCACGGTCAGGACGTAGTTGTCGTCGTTGCTGAACTTTTCCTTGGCGAACAGCCTCAAGGACTTTCCGTTCGAGTCGAACCTGAGCGAGGTCTCCATCTCGGCGCGAAGTCAGTCGCCTCGTTTCTCCGCGATCGATCGTTCCGCGGGGGGCGATCGACGAACGGTTCTTTCGAGACGCGCGCGGCGAGTCGAGAGGCGCGGTCCGCGGCGGTTCGGCGTCGCGCGTCGCGGGCGCTGCGGCGCGGGCGATGCGAGGAGAGCGTCGAGTGCTCGGAAGATGCGCGCGGCGCGGGGGGGTGCCGTCGCGCGAGGTCGCTGTGACGACGGGCGGCGTGTCGGAACCCCCGAAGTTCCCCCGCGCGGGCGAAGAAGCTGGATCGCTCTGGGACGACAAGACGCTCGTGCCGATCGATCGACGGTTTCGAGTTCATCGGTCGTCTGTTTCGTTGAAAGGAGGCGTTCGATCGATCGCGTGACTAACAACCAAACGTGCGTTTTTTGGGAATTTCTCGGCATTACCGACAGATCGCGCTGCGCGGACGACGCGACGGATGGCGACGCCGCCGCGCTTCAAGCGCCTCCCCCCTCTGGACCCGCCGCCCGGTCCACGGTCCCCCGCGACGTTGCTCCGCGAATCGCCGCCGCTGAGGGCCGCGGCCGCGGCCGCCGTCGCCGCCGAGACGTCCCCGACGCGCGGCGAGATGCGAACCTCGACGTCGTCGCCAATGATGCGGTCGTCGTCGTCCGCGGCCGCGGCGCTGACGCGACGCGCGGAGGACGCGGAGCTCCTCCTCCTCCAGGCCGAGGAGGCCGTCCTCGAGGCCGAGGAAGTCGCCGCCGCCGCGGAGGAGTGCGCGGAGGAGGCGGTCGGGAAGTACCTCAGCGAATCGCGCGCGAGAGCCGCGCTCGAGGCTGAGCTCAACGACACCAGAGACGCGCTCGAGCGCGCGCTCCTCGACGCCGAGGAAGCCATGGACGACACCCCGATCGCGCTGTCGATGTCGGAGGACCGCGAGGCGGCGCTCCTAAAGACGATTCAGGACGCGAACCGACGGAGGGACGCCGCGGAGGACGACGCGGCGGCGGCGCGCGCCGACGCGGCGGCGACGCGCGAAGAACTCGCCGCCGCGCGATTCGCGATCGAGGCGAGCGAACGCGCGCGAAGTCGCGCGCGCGAGCGACTTCGGAAACTCCGCGGCGGCGGGTGGAAGACCCCGCTCGCGGCGTCGATCGCGGCGGCGAAGACGCCGAACGACGCGCACCGAGGCGCGGCGATCGCGAGCGTCGCTCGCGAAGTCTCCGCGTTGG